ATTTAAAGGTAGATGGGCCTATAAAGGGAAGGGGGGGGGAGCTTATAAGCAGGGGTCTTAAGCGTAAGTTTATGATTGCTACTTTATAGGGTAGACTATAAGGATTTGTTTTTTCTGCTGCAAAAGTTCGTTTCTGTTTTGGGAGATGTTCGGGTTGGCAAGCTTTTTTTCCAAGTTTGTCTGCGTATTGATTTGAGGGAACAAGTTACAGTAAGTGACAGAGTACGTAAGGAAAACCTTTCATTGACCAGGTTGCCACAGGTCAGGAAATGGTCAGGGAAAAGTCTGGGAATTTTACTTTGAGTCAGGGACAATTTGAAGAAAGGTCAGGGATAATTGTAATAATTTAGCCACGCCGATTTAATACCATTGAATGCTGGAAGAAACATTCGGGGTCACTGTGATCTCAACGATAGTTTTGCTTCAGGAAGAAGGAAAATTTGTGGAAAACTTATCAGTCTTAATGAACGAGTGTAAAGGACAGCTGTAACCTGAGACCAGAAGGCGCTACGAGATCTGAGATTTTGAATCTATTTGGTCAGAGAAATGTTATTTTTATCAGGGAAAAGTCAGGGAGTGTCTGTGGCAACCGCATATATGGTCCAGAGGGAGACCAGGACGTAGCATATGAGTATTGGGCATTGCGCACAAAATCCTGACATGATACTTTTGTTTTATTGTAGTCACGACAACGGTTCATCGTGTAGCGGTGGGCATGGAGATGAACGAAGTCCGCAGATATTGGCCAAAGCTGTTCAAGTTCACTCTGAAATGTTGAAAGGGATGTACTTTGCCTGAGGGCACTCTGTGTGATATACACAACACTTACAACCACGACTCTTTTAGACTATTTATTCTTTTTGACAATGTGGCAAATACTTCATGTATCTACCCTGTGGTGTAGTTTTATCTCTTTTACTATAAAATGTTCGCCGTATTTTTGGCTTTAAGACACCTATTTGAAAAACAAGCGAACATGTTGTTTCTTTGAAAGAAATCAGATGAGGAAAGTAGAATTCTTGAAGACTGGGTTTGCTTAGATGCGCTTCTCCATTTCTTTTCCGCGCGCGCTTCTTGTGATGAAGTGTGATATGCAAATTAGCTATGAAATGGTATCTAATGCGCATGTGCACCAGCTGACTGTGTCCCTTTAAGAAACACTTGGATTGAAAATCACTGATTATGTCGGCTCGACTATAAAATTTTTATAGAGCATATAAGTTAGCCTAATGTATTTTTAAAACTTTCGTTACAATGAATTCTGTAAGTGTGATATAATGATCTAGAAAATTTTTAGAGTAGGTTTTATCGTGCTGTGCACGTCATACTTAGAATTTAGGTCAGTACTCTATCCAATCGTCATTTTAAGATTACAAGTAGCACATTGCCTAAGAGGTGATTTATGAAATATATGTCAAAGCAACAAAACAAATTGAAATAAATAACGTGTAACTTGAACCTAAGTTGTGTGAGAAGAAGCGGAAAGTACTTTTCCAAAACTACCTGCATTCTAACAATAAAAAGCACCAAGGACCGTACAGTCGATTACGTTTTTTTGGACCGTTTTATTGGGGGGCGGGTGGGTGGGGAATTAAGTGAGCCTCTTTTTAGGGGGGTAGGGAGTAAAGGGAACCTTTTTTGTGGGGGTGACGTGGGAAACAAAGTAAGTAAGGACAAGATACGATAATTAATTAAACGTCAAATACACAGGGAATGGTTTCCCAGTCTTTCGAGCCAGACGCTTATGATAAGGTGTTTCAGTGAGAGTCATTTGGCTAGGGTGTTGGCCTGAAGTCGAAAGATCTGTTGATTTTCGTTTTGTTATCCTGCGTCGTAGACGCTACCTACCGCATGTTAGGAAATTTAAGTCTGCGAGGCTACGTTTGGCGATCGAGGTAGAAGAATCGCTGTGTACAACACTTGCTTCATTATCATAAGCGAAGGAGTTGCAACAATTTAAACATCCTCCATGGGCCGATAAACTGTTTTTTTGAGCCCGATGTATGGATTATTTTTTGTGCGACGAGGGTTGAAAAGCTAAACATTTCACCCCAAAAAATGTACGAGCTGATTAGCACTTTTGGTACCCAGGAATTTTGCAGTTCTTGATAGTGACTGATAGTCGATATCTTCCCAGTTACACCCAAAGACCTTTTCGAAAAATACCACTTGCTAAGTTTCACAAGCCCTTAAATGGTAGGAGTTAGTTCTTCCAATTCTCAATTTTCCCTAGTTCACTCTGTTTGCCCCCAAATTTTCCACAAACTATTGTAAAATGCTCCAAGGAATATGCAGACCTCCCAAGAGCATTTCACAACGATGATTTATGCAAAATTTGGGGGCAAACGGAGTGAATTATGGAGAATTGGAAAATAGAGAATTCCGCCCATTTCTCCGAACACAAGGCCGAGTGGAGAATAAGCACAAGGAAACGTCAAGAGAGACGCCGGGTGGTCTGTTTTCCTGATCTCAACACCAGTCTGCTTACTAATATATGGATTCCATCAAGAGAATTTAGATTTTAAACAGTTTTTGGAGTCTGGTTAAACGTGAAAAAGTCGCGCTTTTTAAATAAGAGTATGACGAAGAAAAATTAATTCACTAAGGAACGTCTCGCAGAAAAAAATAGCAAGCTTTCAGACTAACCACGACCGCAACGGCAACGAGAGCGTCACCAAACAAAAGATCTAATGAGCAGAACAATGGCTGTGCACGTGCGTTATAAATCCTACATTTCTTTGAACGCAGGCATTACATTTAACAAATTGACGTCAGTTTTTCACGCGTCTGTCCTGTTATTGATAATGAATTTCGTCATAACATTGTCAGAGTAGCTGTGGTTACGCAGACTACTTTGACGATGTTATGACGAAATTTATTGTCAATAACAGGACAGACGCATGAAAAACTGACTTCGATTTGTTTTTTTACAATGACAAATCGTCGAATTGTCTGTGTATCACATAAATTACAAATGCATTCGTGTGCACTTTAAGGGTCTTATGATCATTTCCGATCACTTTCGTCAAAAAGGAAGTGAGATAAAGATACAGCAATCTCTTTTATAAACGTGGGAAGAATTCTGTTCCGTAAAACGTGTGATCACAGCGACTAATGTTTGTACGTGGGAGAGTGGTGCTCGCGAAAGGTCGGCTCAAATAAAAGTTTAAATTAGCCGTTAGCGATTTTTTTTTTTTAAGTGATGGCTTTCAGAACGTGTACTTTGTATTTGTTTCCCAGTACTAACTGAGAGAGACGAAGAGTGTTACAGGACCGAATAATATTTCATTTTGGTAAATTTTCATCACTTTTCCAGTTCGCTTCGCAATAATTTGTGGTTCTGTTTCCAGCAATTGTATCATACAGATTGCTGTGATAACGTGATATCAGGACTTATGGCACATTTCAAGCAAGTGTGACAAATAGCCCCAGATGTTATTTATACCAATAACTGTTGTTTTAAACTAGTTATATGACCTCGTTTCCCTTGACCCGTTCAACACGCCACCCATCTCGAAGATTTAATGCAACTATGCATCTTCGTTTACTGCCATTATAAAGTTACATTATTCCATGTTGCAACATCCTGTATTCGTGACTCGTATATTGGTTTTATCGACTGTTCGTCTTTTCAGCAAAGTGTTATATCCCTTGTTCCAGTCGGTCAATATGAAGTGATCGTTAATCACGTTTACATTTTTCGACGACTTTTTATGCTAGGCACAATTTGACTCCGAACATTCAGACAGCTTGTGACTGCTAAGTAATCGGTGCAGTGTTCGGTCGCTTGGGTGTAACACTCAAATAAAAATTGGTTTTCAAAAACTGCAAAGTTTCTGGGTGGCAAACGCGCTTATGACCTCATACGTTCTTTGAAAAATTTTGTGTTTTTAAACCCGCGAAGTACAAAAGCTATTCAACATATCTGGATCAAATTCCTTGGGACAGTTTGTTAATCGAGCTATGCCCTTGTAGGGTATAGCTCTTGTATGTAAGAACTGGTATTTTTCTAGCTCAATCGCTTATGCCAATGTAACAAATATTATCATTAAACACTCGGTCTGTTGCCTTGCTAACAGCGTTTGCATACCGAGAAAAACGCCTTGCTAATCCAGTAAGGAGTGTTTGTTTTCGAATGGACTTTCCATGCATGGCTTATGCAAAGACAAAGTATTGTCCAAAAACGGATTTGAAAAGGAGCAGAGCCGCTTTGAAGTTTTTCAATGCTAATATACCAGTACTCCGCCAGTACTCTTGTATACTCCGATTTTCATCCTTCTAAACAAGGCAGACGAAACAATTAAAAGTATGTGCATGTTTTTGTAGCGCACAAAATCTCGATGGTAACCGGGTGCATATTATTTTATGGTGTAAAACACCGAAAACCTAAATTTTGAATCGATGTTTTTAATATAAATAGCATGATCGATTTCTCGGACGGCTCAAAAGAAAAAGGTTCCCCTTCCTTAGGTCAAATATAGTAATTTTATCCTTGATTCGTCGACCTTTCTGTTTTTTCAAATCAATTCTCGTTTCCCTTGGAGGTTTGAAAAATCAGGATTCCGCACTAATTACAATTTTTCTTTAGAGAGAAAGCGTTAAATATTTTCTCATTCCTCATTTCATGTTCTCTATAAAATATTCAAATGAGTGACATTATAATGTTATTGTTTAGAAAAA